AAATAGAAATAGAAATAGAAATAGAAATAGAAATAGAAATAGAAATAGAAATAGAAATAGAAATAGAAATAGAAATAGAAATAGAAATAGAGATATTTGTCATCCCAGTGAATAAACCCTCAATTGCTCTAAAAATCCTACAAGGAGCTAATTCTGCAGAGAAGTTGTGGATGCTGGAATTGTTCCAGGCCAGGTTGGATGGGGTTTGGAGCAACTTGGGATAGTGGAAATTGTCCCTGCCCATGGCAGAGGATGGAATGAGATGACATTTTCCAACCTAAACCATTCTGGGATTCCATAATTCCATGATACTGCTCTGGCTCTCAAATTCCAGTTGTATGTGAATTATAATCTGAAATGTGGATAGGAAGTAGAAGGTTGTTAATGCCTTTAAATGAACAAATGGATATTTTTATTTTGATTATGGGATGTAGGAGAAATTCCGACTTCTGGATGGCCTCAGCTGAGATCACTTCCGTAGGTTTTGGGATTGGGTTGGACTCTGAGGAACGTGGAAGGAGTTTGGAACCAGATGAACTTTAAGATCCTTTCCAACCCAAACCACTCCAGAATTCCCTGCCTCTCCTTAATAAATACCCTAAATTATCCCAGTGGTGCCTTATACAAACCCTACAGAGGTAACTCCACGTGATCTTCATCCAGCCAGGAAAACAAAACACAGGAATCCCCCAACCCCAGTGTTTTGAGCCAGGGATCTGGATTGAATTCCTTTGTTCCCTCAGCATCCAGCGAGCGTGGCGTGAGCACCTGCAGCGCCAGGACCTGCACAGCCCATCCCCAACATCACCAACATCACCAACAATGTCCCCAACGTCCCCAACGTCCCCAACGTCATCGACCTCGGGCAAGATGAGCAGGTCTGTCAGCATGAACACCTTCTCCGACAGCAGCACCCCCGTGAGTCCGGCTGGAATTCCTCCTTTTTCCTTTGTTGCCTTCTTTTCTGGGATTTGGGATAAGTGGAATCTCAGATGTGGGTTCACCAGGTTGATAATGGGTTAAAAAGGGATTTTGGGGTGTCTCAAATGGCCTCCAGGCAGAGATTGTTCTTGTAAGCTCATCAGGATGTGTGAGTGTGGATATCAGACCTGGATTTCAGCAGATTTTGGAGGTGTTCTTGCTGGATAAAAGGTGCTTCCCAGTGGTCATGTGTCCTGTGTGTTTAGGATATTGTGTTCCCAAAAAATCCTCAAATTGTGGTGCTTTTCCTACAATGAAATGCGTTTTCTTGGCTGATTTTTGGTTTTGTTTGGTTGATTTTTATACTTGATAAAAAAGACTTTGAGAAGTTGATTTAGGGGTTCAAAATTAAATTGATTTTGGAATAAATATTCCGGCTCAACCAGTGGCTGGAGGCTGCATTTCTGTTTTTAAGGTGACTCTAAATAAACCCCAAATGCAGTTCCCATTTCTGGAATACAAACAGCTCCGTGACTGCCTCTGAATCGGGATTTTTAGGACAATAAATAAATAAATACAGAGTCTGGAAATGCTGCCTTCAGCTTTGTGATGGAAGAACAAGGAATTACTGACTGGAGTGCATGGAATAACTCAGGAATTCCAGGAATTCTGGCACGGTGTGTGGTGCAGGAAGTGTCTCCCTGCTCCTCAGGAGGGAACAGGTTGGTTGGATCCTCACTGTCAGTGGATGTTGCCACTCACAGGACAGCATTTGGTGTCTTCTGAATCCCTACAAAAATCTGGGAATCATTGTCAGTGGTGTTATGCAAGCTGAATAAATTTAATTCTACCTTCAGTTGCAAAGTTGGAGCGATTTTAATCTCGTAAAGCCCAAGGCACTGATCAAACATCTTTTCCATGATAAAAACTCTGATCTTGGAATTTTGGGGATAATGTGACACTTTCCAGTGTTGATCCAGGTGTTGATCCAGGCCCAAAGCGAAGCTGGTTCCAGCAGGTTTATTTTGGGACACAGTGCTTGACAGAATTTAATAAAATATTCCTGAGGGCACTGCTTTATATTTAGTTGGGAGCTGGAGAGCAGGAGGATAAAGTAGGCTGGAATATTGGGTTAGACACTGATGTTTCATGGATTAAAGGGATTTGGTTCCTTTAATTAGAGGAATAGATGAGGATATAAATGTTTATCTGCCACTGGAATCTGCTTCCACCAGAGGTCCCTCGTACCCTGTGCAGGGACACTCGCGGGTGCTCCAGAGCTCCTCCAGCACTAATCTCGTTTGGAAAATGACGCTTTTGGGATGTCTGCGGGTTCAGTAAGGGCATCTGGGAGTTCTGTATTTGTGGGGAGAAGGTGATGGCTCCATCTCCGAGTGTTTGTGGGTAGAACACAGGGTTCCCCCGGACCTTCCCCATGGAGAGAACTGATGGAACGGGTGGAATGTCAGAGCTTGAGGGATGAGATGAGAAACAGAGAATTCTTGTTTGGCTGCTGCTTTGTAGCAAAGAAAGGTTTGTGTGTGTGTAGTACAAACAGGTTTTTAACTGTTTTAACTGGAAAAGATCTGTTATTGATCACTGATCAGATTATGGGATGAGGAGCACACAGCCTGGAGCTGCGTTGTCTTCACTTGCTTTTGTTTTCCTTTTGCATCTTAATCCTTGCTAAAAGGAAATCAGAAGACAGACGTATAACAGATTTTGAACAGATTTTCTTCCTTGAAAATGTTTTAAATTTTGTTACTGTGTAGAAAAGTGCCCAAACTTCCTTTCTAGATGGGTTTCTGCTTATTTCCTCCAAAATCTCTGAATGGTTTGGGTTGAAAGGGAACTTCAGGCTCATCCCACCCCTGCCATGGCAGGGACACCTTCCACTGTTCCAGGCTGCTCCAAGCCCCATTTCCATTCCCTGGGAATGTCCACCCTGCCTTGGACATTTCCAGGGATCCAGGGGCAGCCACAGCTGCTCTGGGCACCCTGAGGTGCCCACCCTGTGCCCAGGGAACAATTCCTTCCCAGTATCCCCTCTAAATTTCCATTCCTTCAGCTTGAAGCCATTCCCTTGTTCTGTCACTCCAGTTCCAAATGAAGTCTCTGTTCTCTGTCCTTGTATCCCCGTTCAGATTCTGGAAGGAGCTCTGAGCTCTGCAAACAACTTCCACAAGTTGTTTGGAGAAGACTCCAGGCTGAAAAATTCCAATTTTCCCAGACTGTCTCCACAGGGGAAGATCTCCAGTCCCCTTGTCAACATCATGGCCTCTTCTGGACTTGCTCCAACAGTTCCTCGTCCTTCTTACCGTGGGGACACCAGACCTTGGCGCAGCATTCCGGGGGGTCTCGGGAAGAATTCCATGTCCAGGAGGATGTGCTAGGCCAGCTCCCACCCTGCTGGGCTGCCCGGGAGAGGAGCGGGAGCCGCCCGGGATGCGCTGGCGGTGCTCGGCCGATCAGCACCGCGGGCAGCGGCGGGGCCGGGCCCGCTCAGCACCGCGGACAGCGCCAGCTTCTCCCGCTCCTCTCCCAGCTCGCTGCCTTTTAATGGGGATCTTACCCCAACCCTGTCACTCCTGACCTCCCGTCCTGGCAATGCACCTCTTTTCCTCTCCTAAAAATCATTGGGATGCTCGTGAGAACGGCAGGAACTGATTCCGTAAAATTCCCATTTTTTTTTGCTTGAGCCAAGTGCTCCAATAGGCAACTTCCTACCAAGAAATGTTTTTTTTTAGAGGTGTAACCACACAAAAGCTGCTTTTCCAACCAGGAATGGTTATTTCCCCACCCCTTCTCCATCAGTTGATGCCACAGAAATATCCAGTGGGGAAAAGAGGCAGGACTGAACTCCTCTGTCCCAAACTCCACTTTGTTTGTCCTTCCTGCCACACAGGGCAGCTTCAAAGCTGGGACCTTTCCCAGTGATTTATAAAGGTTTGGTGCTAAAATAGAACAAAATCCCTCTGCAGCCTTTGTGTGTTCTTCGGTCTCCCAGGAAAATCCCATTTTCCCACTGGTGTCTGTGACATTCCCAGGTGTGTTTTGCACCTGCAGGAGAGATGGGAAGTTGAGGAAGAGGGAAAATCCATGTGTGGGAGGCAGTGAAATCCTAACAAGCAGTCGGGTGTTAATTCGGGGAACATTCCCTCTTTCCTGCGAGCCTGAATCCCCAAATCCATGAGCAGCAGAGTGGGAACCATCTGATAAATATTTACAATGTGGTTTCTATATAATGTAAAAATGCAAATCCTTGCTCTTGAGCAGCGTGGATGGAAACATAATTAAAGATGAGGGAGACAAATCCAACTGAGATGAAAAGGCCTTAATTAGAAATCAAATATTTGATGGGTTGGGGAGAAACATTAACGCTGATGTGGCTGTCAGATAACACTTGGAATGAAGGGAACATGGAAAAAAATGTTGTTTTCAATCCTTCCCATTGGCTCTGGATAATCTCAGCTCTAAATGTGAACAGGGAATTCACAGTGCTGCTGCCTAACGTGGAATTTGTCATTTAAATGGGTTTTTATGGAGAAATCGTTGTTGAGTTTGTGTTTATTTGTGTTCATAATCATCCCCAGTGATTATCCAAGTTTAAATCCCTTACAAATATTATCCCATGGGATTTTAACTGCTGGGATACAAAAGGACCCTCTTGATCCTTTCTGCTGGTGGGAGCAAAACACCAATAATTTCTTCTTTTTTTATGCTGTGTGTATTGAAGGTTGGTACTGATGTGATTACTGATGCAAATTTGAGTCCTCGTGGTTTAACAGCAGCAAAATCAATCCAGAAATGATCTTGGTTGATGATAAAATCACTGATAAGACATTTCTGATGATGTTTCTGTGGGAATATTCGGCTGTTGGAGACACTTGAGAACAGTTCTTGGAGTTCTGGGGTGGGTTTAGCTCCGTGAATGTTCACGGTATCGATGAGAGGTCTCAAAAATAGTTTTATTTATGTCCTGCTTCAGGAAATTTGGCTGAATCCTTTATAAATCCTTTCTAAGTTAATTCTATGTACAATATCTCATTTATTCCCACAGCAGGGAAATTCCACAAATTTCTTCCTTTTACAAAGCCAGGTCCCCAGATGAAAATAATATTAATGAATACTTTAATTTTTAATTAAACAGGGGGGTGCAGAGCAGATCTGCACCAGCACAGGAAGTTCTTGGGGGGTTTCTCTCCAGCCCTGTGGCAACACACTGAAAATCCAGAATTTCTTTTGTCTGAGGAACTTCCAGAGGGCAGGAGTGGATGGGATATCGGGAAGGAATTATTCCCTGTGAGGGTGGAATTCCCAGAGAAGCTGTGGCTGCCCCTGGAATCCTGGAAGTGTTCAAGGCCAGGTTGGACAGGGCTTGGAGCAGCCTGGGACACTGGAAAATGTGGGACTGGATGACCTTTGAGGTCCCTTCCAAACCAAACAATTCCATGATTCTCTGCCCTGAGCAGTAAGCTTTGCTGATGGCATTTGCAATTCTTTGGGAATGATGACAATGGGCTGATTTCCTTAGGCTGGAGAAGATCCCATCTTTTCCTGCTGTTTAGGATGCACAGCTAAAATATCCTAAAATACGTAGAGTTTCCAATGAGACCCTCTGGGATCTCAGCTTTGGGTGTTGGTGACTCGAGAGCTGGGTACAGATGAGGACACAGCAGAGCACACCAATAATTCCTAGGAATTATTGGGAATATCAGGATCTGGCAAATCCAAAATTACGAGGCCTTTTGTTGTCACCCTTCCCAAGCGCTGACAATGGCAGAGATCAAACAGCTCAACCCAGAGTCAAATACTGGAGCAGTGCAGGAAACGGGAATGGATTTGGAATGGCAAGGAAAGACTGGGAATTGGTGAGTCTCCAATATGGAATTATTTGAGACAGGGAGATTTCCAACCACAGGTTTCCCACAAGGAATTATCTTCACTGGCTGGAATGGATTCTATTTTCATGGGACCAAAATAAAATGGGAAAATGT